GCAGCGCTGAAAATATATCATTCATATTACATATATTGCACATTTTCAACACTCGTAGTGTTCCGTATGGCATGTACTGCCATGCGGAAAGCTAGCTAGCGAGCCGGTGCTGCGTGGCAGACGGCGTGGCCCGGTTTCTCGCAGGCAAGCGCGCGGTACTCCCGCCAGCGCCCCGCGCGTAGCTACTAGTGCTGACCGTGGCCGCTATGCAGCGCGCCCCACGATTCTGCTGCCCGCAGCCAAAATTCGGCCGCTCGGGGATATAACTAGGCGCGACGACACTCTGCGCGCCTTCGCATGGCCCAACGCCGATTGTGGCAATTCTTTGTACGACTTTATCACGCTTTTCGTTACCGACGACGTTGGTTTTTTCTAGGCTTTCCTAGAGTAGGTTCTCTTCTCTCAAAGGGATTCTTGGACCACCGCTCTAGATTCAACTTTGTTGAATTGGAGGCAGCGCCGCGATATACCCTTGCTGCTAAGTTTTGAGGTTATAAGTGGTTCGGATCTGGTGATTCCCAAATATTTGCGGCTTTGCCGTGGATTTCAGGAGCGGTCTCGTCCGCCTCCTTTTTAGAGCTCCATCTATTTCCCAAGTGTATCCGCGGGTTCTTGACAATTTGAAGAGCGGGCTCGTCTATCTCCTTTAAAGTTTCCAACTCGTCTATTTCCTAAATGTCTGCGGGATCTAGACAATTTCAACAGCGGCTTGGGCGCTTCCTTTAAAGCTTCGAGCTCACCTTCCCTCAAAGTGTCCGCGGGACTTTGACGATTTCAGAGCGACTCGATTGTCTTTAGAACTTAGAGCTCCCGTTTCCAAGTTGTTCGCGGGACCTTGGATTAGGTATGCTGATTTTTTTTACATTATTAAAGGTCTATTTGAATCACGGAGAAAAAAATCTTTAAAAAATCGGTGTATAAAGAATCGATTTCAGAAAATCGATTTGCATCGGTATGCATGTAGAATGAACCACTCATTAAAGTATATGATCTGTCAAATTTCTATACTTTAAGGTAGACCTCGGGTAATTCATATAAAATTTAATATGAATTAAAGAAATTGAACAAATATTCTTTTGGTTGTGTTGTGTGCGTGTGTGTATGTGTGTAGCCAGAACACGATAGAAAAAGGTCTTTAAATCTTTGTTAAGGATTTAATTAGTTTGATTAAACGTCAATCAAGGGTTTTAACATTTTAAACGTTATTAAATAAAAAAATCACGTTTACTATTATATATATATCATGTGTAGTAAAAAGAAATCCATTATTCTTGCATGAAATTGAAAGCTTTAATTACTATAGTTAGAATGATCCGATTTAGGTCAAATATGCGCCGTTTTGTTCGATAACTTGTTGCCATTTTGAAGGTAATTTCATTATGCCTCTCTCATAGAAGCCCTCGTCCCTATTGGCAAAAAATTGAGACAGTCGATTTTCACAAGCCTCTCTTGAAGCGAATTTTTCACCAGCAAAATTGTTCGCCATGGACAGGAACAGATGGTAATCACTTGGTGCCAGGTCCGGACTATAAGGTGGATGCATAAGAATCTCCCAACCAAGCTCCCGGAGCTTCTGGCGAGTCACTATCGATGTTGTGTGGCCTGGCGTTGTCCTGATGGAACACAATTCCTCTCCTATTGGCCAAAGCTGGCCGCTTCTGGGCGATTGCTTCCTTCAGACGGTCCAATTGTTGACAGTACAGTTCCGAGTTAAGAGTTTTGCTATAGGGGAGCAGCTCATAGTAGATAATTCCCTGCCAATCCCACCAAATACACAGCAAAACCTTCCTGGCCGTCAATCCTGGCTTGGCCACCGTTTCCGCCGGCTCACCGCGATTCGACCACGACCGTTTTCGCTTGACGTTGTCGTAAGTGATCCACTTTTCATCACCAGTGACTAACCGTTTCAGAAATGGGTCGATTTTGTTGCGATTCAGCAGCGATTCGCAGATGGAAATTCGGTCCATGAGGTTTTTTTGCGTTAACTCGTGTGGCACCCATACATCGAGCTTCTTTTTGTGTCCAGCCTTATTCAAATGGTTCCAAACGGCTTTTTGTGCAATCTTTAGCTCTTGGGCAATCGAAACAGTGCTTACATGACGGTCGGACTCGACAATGACTCGACAATGATTTTATCGATATTTTTGACAATTGGCCTTCCAGTGCGTGGTGCATCTTTGACATCGAAATTACCGGAACGGAATCGACGAAACCAAAATTGCGCGTGATTGGCTGTTACAGTATCAGGACCATAAACACTATTCACATTTTCAGCCGTCTGGCTTGCGTTTTCGCCTTTATCGAAGAAAAACTGTAAAATATAGCGTATTTTCTCTTTGCTAGTGTCCATCTTTGACGCGCGCTCAAACAAAACTGTCAGAAAAGTTTTTTTAGTACGAAATCTTATCTTTCTAACGCCATCCAATGGAACCCGATCGGACTTATACAACGCGAGATACAGATAACTAAAGCCATCTATTGGAAAAATAATGGATTTCTTTTTACTACACCTGATATATACAGGGTGAGTTAATTAAAGTGTTACAGATTTATATCTTGGAAATGAATAATTTTAGAGAAAAATGTTTCAGACAAAAGTTGTATGGTGTCAAATGGGACATAAGAAGGTATTATTGATTAGACCTTGGTTAGCCATTTGAAGGTTACGTGAAGGTCACCAACAATTTTTCAAACAGAATGCCCTACGTTTTTTAGTATATCCTTATAACGTATTTCAAGAGCTTTCCAAAGCACTAGAACAAAGTATTTTTTTGTTAAGTACATCCCGAGTTATGAAGCTTTAAAGTTGCAGTACCGCCGGCATTTTGCATTATCCAAGGTGTACCGCGTGGAGGTTGCACGGTCGGATTTACACCTCTTTGTATGTGTGTGTGTGTGTGTGTGTGTGTGTGTCTGTGCGTGCGAACACGCTCAAATGCACGCACGCACGCGCACACACACACACACACACATACACACGCACGCACACAAGAGGTAAATCCGATCGTGCAACCTCCACGCGGTACACCTTGGGTAATGCTAATGCCGACGATACTGTAAATCTGAAGCTTCATAACTCGGGATGTACTTAACAAAATACTTTGTTGTAGTGTTTTGGAAAGCTCTTGAAATACGTTATAATAATATGCCAAAAAAAGTAGGGCGTTCCATTCGAAAAATTGTTGGTGACCTTCACGTAACCTTCAAATGGCTAACCAAGGTCTAATCAAAATGATACCTTCTTATGTCCCATTTGACACCATACAACTTTTGTCTGAAACATTTTTCTCTAAAATTATTTATTTCCAAGATATAAGTCTGTAACACTTTAATTGACTCACCCTGTATATACGAGGGTGGTCTGATAAGTACTTAGCCTACAAAAGAAAAACGAAAATTTTGGAAAAGTGGCGATTTATTTCTCAACATAGTCTCCTTTTAACTCGATACACTTCACCCAGCGATGCTTCAACTTCTTTAACCCGTCTGAAAAATACGTTTTCTCGAGGTCTGCAAAGTAGGTCTCCGTGGCAGCGATGACCTCATTCGACTCAAATTTCTGCCCGGCGAGTGACTTTTTCAAGTTTGGAAACAAAAAGAAGTCGCACGGGGCCAAATCTGGAGAATACGGTGGATGGGGCAGCAGTTCGTAGCCCAATTCGACCAATTTGACCGTGGCGAGGGCGGAGGTGTGAGCCGGTGCGTTGTCATGGTGGAAGAGCACTTTTCTTCGCCAAATGGGGCCGTTTTGCTGCAATTCGGCATCGAATCGGCCCAATAATTCGGCATAGTACAGCCCTGTGACCGTTTTGCCCTTCTCCAGGTAGTCGATGTAGATCACACCTTGTGAATCCCAGAAAACGGTGGCCATCACCTTTCCGGCCGATAGGACAGTCTTCGCCTTCTTCGGAGCACGTTCGCCGGGTGAAGTCCACTGTTTCGACTGTTCCTTGGTCTCTGGTGTGTACCAGTGGATCCATGTTTCGTCGACGGTCACGAAACGACGCAGAAACTCCTTTGGATTGCGCTTAAACAGCGTCAAACACTGCTCTGAAGTGGTCTCACGGTTGCGCTTGTTGTCCGGAGTGAGCAAACGCGGCACCCATCGCGCCGACAGCTTTCTCATGCCCAAAATTTCATGCAGGATATGACCCACGCGGTCTTTTGAGATGCCTACTATCTCAGCTATCTCGCGCACCTTCAATCGGCGGTCTGCCAATACGAGATCGTGGATTTTTGTCATGTTATCCTCCGCGGTAGCCGTTTTCGGGGCACCTGGGCGTGGCTCATCAAAAACCGACGTGCGACCACGTTAAAACTCGTTAAACCAATTTTTGACGGTCGCCATCGAAGGAGAAGAGTCACCGTACACAGCATCCAAGCGCTCTTTGATTTCGCTGCGCGATTTCCCTTCCAAAAACAAGAATCGAATCACCGATCGATGTTGCTCTTTTTCCATTTTTCTAAAATCCGCGGACACGCCCGCTTCCACACGCGGTCAAAACAAAACTACGAGTCCGATTCGGCTGAAATTTCGACAGTAGCCGTCTACGAGAATGTACTACACGATAGTAAATTTCTCTTGCGATAGTGACGCCATCGGGCGGTGAGGCTAAGTACTTATCGGACCGCCCTCATATATAACCGCCAAATTATTATGGTATCTTCCTTGAACTATCCCTGAGAACCCTACAGAGCCAGGTCTTGCAATCCGGCCGTCAAAAATTTACCATACATTAATAAAGCGTCCGCTGTACCAAACGTCGCTTTTTACGATAATAAAAGAAAACAAAATTGATTAAGATTTTTTTTGTTTTTAACTTGCAATTTTTTTGACATATATATGAGTTATATGTATATTCAATTATGGTTATAAAAGTCAACTATAGATGATATAAACACGTTGTAAACGTTACTATATAAGTGTTTATAAGTGCACGTGGATTGATAATAGTTACTTATAAATGCTGTATTAATCGTATATTAAATAAAACTTATTTTCACAGACGAGAATAATAAGATTCGTGAATCACCATACCTGATATAACATCCTTTACAGATGCACATCCTGAAAAAAGATATTAAATTATCAAGCAATTAATTAAACAGAGGTTAATATGGATAATTAATGTTTGCTGTAACTTGCCAGTTAATGCAAAAGCTAGGTCGATCTCTTTTCGCATGAGTTCGAGAATCTCCTTGGCACCGTTTTCACCGTTATATGTCAAGCCCCACAGCATTGGTCTGCCAAAGAATACCTGAAGAATAGAATACAATTGGACAATAAAAACGCGGGCAATCAAATATATGCATATTCAATATGATCGAAATATTTTTTCAAGTCGTTCGATACATTCGTACCATTTTCGCACCCAATGCCAAGGCTTTAAACACGTCAATACCCTGCGTTACTCCTCCATCCATATAGACTTCGATTTTATCTCCTACACCTCTAATTATTTCTGGCAAAGCTTCTATCTATAAGGGTAAATTATCTCAATAACTTACATACTAATAAATCCTTAGATATTAATAACAATAATATTAAATTATTCGTTTAAAATGAACGTTTGGTACTATATTCAATATAACTTTTAAGTTGCTTTCAACATAAAAACTGGCCTGACCGTGGCTGGAACACTATCTATTTGACGAGCTCCATGATTCGACACGATAATACCGTTAGCCCCGCTTTCGACGGCCAAACGTTTATCTTTGACCGTCAAAATTCCCTTGAGAATTATCGGCAACTTTGTGATTCTATAATAATAAATCAATTATAATCAGTTCTAATCTCGATGAAACGCGATGTTAAATGTAGCGCTGTTCAGATAAGGAAAATTTAGAACATCAACGCGAATACCTTTTTATCCATTTCACGTCTTTCCAAGTGAGAGACGCGTCGAACATTTCGGTGACATATTTATTCAGGCCGGAACCGGTCTTTGCAGAATTTATTCGTTGCGACAAATCACCCTCGAAATTCGCAAATCTAAAGCAAAGCGTGATATTTGAAATTCACAAAGTTCTATCAGCCTTTTGCTCGTAAATGCGAAATATACCTTAGGTGACTCGGTAACGTAAATTTATTTCTCACATCAGCTCGTCTATCGCCAAATAACGGCGCGTCGACGGTGAAAATTAACGCTTTGAAGCCAGAATGTTCAGCGCGCCTTATTAAATTTAAAGTGACACTCCTGTCACGATAAATGTAGAGTTGGAACCAATTTATGCCATTGGGCACCGCTTCCGTCACTTCTTCAATGCTGCTCGTCGATATTGTTGACAGTATAAAGATTGTTCCTGCTGCCTGAGCGGCAAACAGACAAAGTGGAAATTATTGTCCGTTGAAGCCGTCATGCGAGAGAGGACGACGTAAACATTATTGCTAAATCAATGTGTTCGGGAATGCGGCCGATCCTGCATGGCGGGCGGTCTGGGTTCCCGGCGCCGTCGTTCTCGCAGTCGGCGAGGTGCCCGGTCTCTCGTAGGCAAGTGCGCGGCCGTCCCGCCGGCCGCCCGCGCCTGACAAGTAGCTCCAGCCGTGGCCGCTAAGAGGCGCGCCACCCGACTCCGCAACCCGCGGGCAAGAATCCGCCGGCCGGATATATCACCCAGCGCAACGGCCGGCGCGACGCCTTCGCATGGCCCAACGCCGATCGTGGCAATCCGTGGTGTCTGGTCTGTGCGACTTGTAGCGTCCGTCTTTTTACCAACGTTTCTCTCTATGCGTTCCTAGAGCAGTTTTCGTGCATAGTCGAGATTCAAACCAACGCACTCTACACTCTGCTGAGTTGACTGCGGTGCTAATATACCCTGCTGGGTTGAGGCTTTATGGTGAGAATCCACTTTAGCTTTGAGTTCGCCTCATTGCCACGAGGAGCGAACTTCAGATCGCCTCCGTGTGGAGCGAGTTAACTAAAGCTAAGACTCCATGCATGCGGTGAGCTGCGGCAAATGCTGCGGTGACCAATCAGGAGGGAGGCGCAGGTCCGGTTGCGGCAAGCTCCGGCATGCCGCACCGCACTGCGTTGCGATTAAAATATTTTAATTTTTCCGCACTGTGCCGCACGTCATACGTGCGTCGGATGAATTTTAGAACGCAAAAACTAGTGAATTTACAACCATCCTTTTTGTAGGTTACGTTATATGTCATATGATACACAAACATGGATTTAATAAGTGAGGACTATTCATGTACGGAATATAGTACTGAGGGTATCAATGAGTTAATAATTCATTATGTAAGAAACCGCCCACAATTGTGGGATTTGAATGATAAATGCTACCGAGATAATGGTCTGAAAAAAAAATTGTGGTGTGAGGTTGCCCACGAACTTAATATGACTGGTATGTATTATTATTGTGTTATTATTTGAATTATTAGTATATATTATTTGAAAATGTGTATAAAAACAATGTATATGTATGGATTATATATGGTTTTATATAATTTAAATAGAGGAATTTGTGAAGAACCGTTGGAGAAATCTTCGAGATCGGTATATAAAGGAGAAAAAAAAGTCTGTAACAAAAAGTGGGCAAGCAGCTGTTCATTTTGTACCATGGTCATTTATGGAACATTTACATTTTTTATCCGATACAGTGGAACCTCGCAAGTAGGTGTTATACTTTCTTCAAATGTGAAGTTATAATAATTTTATTGTAGTTGATACAAAATTTATGATATTAATTTTCGTTTTTATTTCAATAACGAATGTAATTGTCAGTTTTTCATTTTCATAAACAGTATGCTCTCAAGTAAAGTAATAACTGTTTAATAATGTCTCAATTAGGACTATAACAAACTTCGAAAGTTTAGAACATCCCTTATCTAGAAGCGATACATCACCAACATCTTTGGAGACTTTTCAATCTGAAGAATATATGTACAACATACAAGAAGAGTTTCAAGGTAAGAGGAACAAAAGATAGTAGTGTAAATAACTCTATGCTAGGATGTTATATGAAAGTATTTGAAACTGTCCTACAGTTTTTGTCCTACAGTTCCCCTGTACCTGTATCAACAATATAACTGTTATATTGTTGAGTAGGAAATTTTATTTATAAACAATTTTCTTTATAAAAGAAAATTGTTTTTAAGTAAAACATATTTTAATAAACATTTCATTACATTCTTTTAAACATTATTTTACAGACAATATGTGGGATAACATAAGACAGACAGAACAAACAGATTTTGTTCACCGCATTTATTAAATATGCCGTCTCGTCCTTCTAACAGTGCCTCTCCTCGTCCTAATAATACTTTGTCTCGTTCTAACAGTGCTTTGATTCGTCTTGATAGTGTCTCCCCTCATCCTAATAGCGCCTCCCTTCGTCCTAATAGCGCCTCCCCTCGTCCTAATAGCGCCTCCACTCGTCCTAATAGCGCCTCCCCTCGTCCTCATTATGCCTCCTCTCGTCCTAATAGTGCTTCTCCTCGTCCTGATAGTGTCTCGTCTCGTCCTCAGACTAGTCATCGAATGAGTAGTCATTCTCAAAATCAGCCTACAGCCAGCAAATGTGCAAAACGAAGTAAATTAATATTTTTATTAAATATATATTTCTTTATTTGTGCAAAATTGTACGGCATATTTAAATTACTTAATTAAGAATTAAACAGTTTGTTCAGTGCGTGTACATACATGCACTGTATAAATAAGATATTCAAGTAAATCAGTTGTAAAGTACACACACTGAACAAACTGTTTAATTCTTAATTAAGTAATTTAAATTTAATTTATTATATATATAGTTGATTAATGTGTTAAATTTACTATAAAATAATAATGATTTTATACGACATAATTGCAAAAATTTGATAAAATATATATTTATATTATTAATGTTTATTTTCTTTTTCAGCAAAAAGACAATTGTCTGAAACGGGTATAGATGCGGTTGATGAAGCAATTTTAAATTTAGTGGGAAAACAAAATTCGGCAGATACTATGAATTCAGACGATCTTTTTTATTTATCTATATCTCGGGATTCACAGCAACTAAACGTAAACGCAAAATTACGCTTAAAGACACTTGTATTACAAGTACTTTCTCAAGTTATAACAGAGGAACAAAATAAAAATTAATCGATTGCACTTTTATATTAATTATGTGTTTCAATCAATTTACCTTATGCCTGTTGCATGTATGCTTCTCGTTGAAAGTTTGGTAGCTTATTCCATTGCCAAGGTACATAACCTTCCTTCATAAAATAATCTGCGTATGTATTTCGTATTATCTTGGCATCATTTGCTGAGTTTCTTCTTATATTTGGTGCTAAATCTCTAAGTGCACCAGATGGTGCTTCGTTTCGCCATTGACCAGGTTCTACATTTCCAAAGCGATCTTCTTCATCTATAAATCCTACTGGAATATATTTTCTCTGACCAGGTAAAACTTTCAGATCTGAATCTCGAAGCCAATTGTGCAGTGCCACACAACTTTTAACTATATTATCTACAGTTGAAGGTGACGCTACAATTGGTCGTCGAAATATTCTCCACCTAGCTGCCATTACTCCAAATGTATTTTCAACTACACGCCTTGCTGTACTCAAGCGGTAATTGAAAATAACTTGTTTTGCACTCAAGTTAACACCAGGGTATGGTCGTAACAAATTATTCAATAATGGGAATGCTGCATCACCAACGAATACAGCAGGAAGGCAAATATTTGTACCTGGTAAGGCTTTAGGTACAGGTAATGGCAGTGTATTTGTCTCAATGCATCTTCCAAAAGCCAGATTTTGAAAAATACCTCCATCACTTTCTCTACCAGCAGAACCAATGCTTACATATGTAAAGCGAAGATTAGCATCAGCAACTCCCATTAAGACTGTGCTGAAAGTGCCTTTATAATTGTAAAAAGCTGATCCTGTATTTTTAAAACATTGTATAGTAACATGTTTTCCGTCAATTGCTCCGACACAATTTGGAAAATTCCATTTATTTTCAAAATCCTCTGCAATTTTGGACCATGTTTCCACACTTGGCGGAGGAAGTACTTGAGGTTGCAGTACCTGCCAAAGTGCTTTCGTTGTTTCTACAATTATCCGTGGCACAGTAGATTTACCTACGCGGTAGAGGTAATGTAGACTTATCATACTATCTCCAGATGCAAGATATCGTAACGTTAATGACAAGCGCAGTCCTGGATGCAACGGTTCCCTTGTCACATATATTTTTGAAATAATAGGTTCTATCATCGTTAATAATTTATCAAATTGATGAGGTAACATGCGATGAAAATTGAAAAAACGTTCTGTGTCACGTCGAAGTTCAAGCACAAGATTATCGTAAGCACCTTGAAGATAACGTTGCTCTATCATAGGATGAACCCACCATCGAGCTGTTCTCCGAATGACTTGTTCTTGCCTTTTTAATCGTCGTTTTCTTCGCAGGTACAATAGCAAAACAAGCTTTTCATCGCGATTCATTCTTATTTTATTATTTATTTCGATTATATTTTATTTTGTTAATAATTATGTTTTGTTTTGTTAATAATTTATTAATTCTATTTTGTTTTGTTATAATTTTTACATTGTTGTCACTCGAAGCGCTTTTATATACACAATACTATGGGCTGCGTTCCAAAACTCAACGAATAGAGTAACCATTGATTGACCAAACTGAAAGAATAATGATGTGACGCAACCTTTGCCGCGCATATGGAGTCGCTTTCCGCAGCCGTTTGCCGCAGCTCACCGCATGCATGGAGTCTTAGCTTAACTCTCTTTCCGAGCGCCCGTCGAAAAACCTCGGTTGTTAGGAACGGCGTTGCCGTCTACTTGAGAGATTTGCGAACTCTCTCTTGCCAAGTATCCGTCTAGAATCTTGATTCGTTCTAAAGCGGCGTAGTCGCTTCTTCGAGAACTCTGAGCTCTCTGTCCAAGCGTCTTCAGGGCCTTGGCTAGTCGTCCCGGAGCAACTGAGTCGCCTCTCGCGTGATACGAGCTCAGCACGTTCTCTTGTGCATCTCCACGCTTCTCAAGAATGTGGCAGCTTGCAGGCCGTTTGGTCCGGAAGGGCAGGCCATCCGAAACGACGGAGGTCGTTTCATTCTAACGCTCGTGGACGTGTCTGTTACGAGTGTTTCTCCGGTTTTTCGGCTCGGATTTACGACCCGAATAGGCCGTACGAGACCTGAGTTTGGTATCGTCCTTGACTCCGATCCTTCTGATAAGGGTGTTACGGCATCCGCGTATCTCCGCTCAGTTGTGAGCGGAGTCGCAAACACAATGTGAGAATAATCTAACAATGCCTAGGTTAAATATTTAACGTGTATCCAAGTTAAATTTAAATTTATTGCAAATTCACTCTCGCATCGAGTTTGTAAATCGTTTCACTTATTTTACTCCGCTTCAATTACCCGAGACGATTAAATTCGCAGAATCGATCATATTGTTACAATATTCGAGCTAATTTTAGGTTCTGTAACCGGTTTTATCTGCAATCATGCAACGATCTCACTCTGCTCATCCCGACTGCTCATCTCTACTGAAACCTACTCGCTGGTTCCCCGCTGCTAATGGAGGACACAGCGGATAGCATTGAGAAAATTTAAATAGCGATGTCTCGCTCTCTCCTGTGACAAGAGCGCGAGAAACTCGATTTCCACAGCAAATGTTAAAGTTAAGCGAAACAATTAAATTTATTGAATTGAACGACAAAAATAATTGAATTTCACAAATAAATAATATTGTCTTGTATTGGGTGAGTGCAAAAGTTCGTGCGGAGTTTCAATAGATGGAGTTATAAGCGTCGTAAAGTGTTGTCATTAATACTTCCATCTATATATTATATAACGTTGGGAAGGTGACGTCTTCAGCTGTTATTAAAAAAAAAATCATTTGTTTTCGTACAAACTGCTTCGAGAAATATCACTTTAAAAATGAGTATCGATAAGGTGCATTTACGGCATGTTATGCTTTACGAGTTTCGGAAGGGAATAAACGTTGCCGCAGCCGTAAAAAACATTCAGGATGTTTATCAGGATGAAGCACCAGCTAAACGAACTGTGGAAAAATGGTTTGCTAAATTTCGGCGCGGAGAATTTAACCTTGAAGACGAGCCACGCTCTGGTCGACCTTCTGACATTGATGACGATGTTTTGCGTACTTTAGTGCTCAATAATCCGCGAATTTCAACAGAAGAAGTTGCTACAGCACTAAACGTTGACCGATCAACCGCTTTTCGGCGTTTAAAAAAGATGGGATTCGATTTGAAGCTCGATATATGGGTGCCCCATTTGCAGACCGAGAAGAACAAAATCAAGCGAATTTCTGCAGCCGTTTCTTTACTCGGGCGGCTCAATAACGAGTCGTTTTTGGATCGACTAGTGACGGGCGATGAGAAATAGGTCCTCTACAACAATATTCAGCGCAAACGGACATGGAAACAATCAGGTGAGCATGGTGACGCAATGCCAAAGGCCAGTTTGCACCCGATGAAGGTGATGCTCTCTGTTTGGTGGGATTGCAAGGGCATAATCTATTTCGAGCTTCTCCCCGCTGACGAAACGATTGATTCAACAAGTACTGTCGCTAATTAAACAATCTGAATCGAGAAATAAAAGAGAAACGTCCGATTTTGTCAAATCGCAAGGGAGTCGTCTTTCATCACGACAACGCCAGACCACATGTTTCGAAAAAGACGCTGCGCAAACTGAAGAGCCTGAAATGGGATGTCTTAACGCATCCACCGTATTCTCCTGATATCGCACCATCTGACTATCACTTGTTCCGGTCATTGCAAAATTATTTAAATGGAAAAAACTTTGACTCTTTGGAGGCCTTAAAAACGGCGTCTCTTCGTTCTTCGAATCTAAACCGCGCAGTTTTTATGATCGAGGCATCCGTATGCTGCCAGAACGTTGGGAAAAGATTATAGAAAACGATGGAGAATATATCATTGATTGAATAAAGATTTTTGTTTGCCTAATCACTGTGTGACTTTTACTCACAAACTCCGCACGAACTTTTGCACTCACCCAATACATTAATTAAGTTCAGTCGCAATTAATCGCAAACACTGAACGACGATGAAACTGAACGACGGAGTTGAAACATGTTGTTACATTTATTTAAAGATTCAATCGAATTATTTAATTTTATATCGGACGTACAAATATTAATTCATCAATTCTCAAATTCATTAAAATTCAGCAATAGAGGACACCGGAAAAGCACGGGAGCGGGAGATACTCGAATCAGCAGCAAAAATCGCTATTCAAATTTCCGAGCACCCCCCTCCCCCTCGCCCCACGCTTGTCTCATCCCTCCAACACGTAACTCCTGGAACAACGCGAGAGATGTTCGGCGACGGAGACGTCTAAGAACCGTCTGAAGGTACCTGCCGACGTTCCTTACACGTTTTCTCGCAGCTCATCACTCAGACATTCGCGTTACAAACCCCCGCAGAACTCTCGGCACTCTCGGGCGTCCGCCCGGGACTCTGCTCTCGTTTGCCCGTAGCTTCGACCTCACCGAGCCAGGAAGTCGAGATCCACCGCTTGACCCGTAGCGCTCGGTCGACCTGCAGCGATCACTCACCCAGACACGTGATGCTTTTCGCAAAGATCCCTGAGCAGAGCGTTCGGTCTCCGGTCTAGAAGCGAGAAGGCGTCGCCGTCGTCGTTCTCGGACACTGGCAGCCTCGCCAGCCAGTGCCAATACATGAGCAGCGTGCGCAACAACTCGCCGCCGCAGCTGCCGCCTCGGCCGATGACGGGCGGCAAACGGCACCTTCGGGTCAAGAGCATCGGCGACATCGAGTATATAAGCACGGCGGCGGTGAGCACCTCGGTCTGACAAGAGGGTAGGCCCCACCACCCGGGGCCTTGCCGCAGCTTGAGCGAGCGCGGCTACTCCTCGACGTACTCGTCGTCCCAGTACGGCTCTTATTCGGGCTACAGCAACGTCCTCGCAGCCGAGTATCAGTATCAACAGCAACAGCAGCAGTCCGACAACTACTATCAGCTGCAGGACGGCTATTACTCGCCGCAGAGCTCCGGTCCGCCGTTCCCGGGCGTGCAGAGGTACGGCAGCCTGGCCGAGGAAACCTGGTCGTGCACCACCAAGAGCAACTCGCCGGGCATCTCCAAGGCTAATCTCAGGACTTGGCTTAGTGGGCGGCCGCGGCCGTGCCGAAAACGAGATTTGTCGAGTAGGCGGATGGGAATTACGCGAGCGCGCGCGCGTTGGCGCACCCCGTGCGCCGCGACTCGGAACATTCCCGATGACGCGTGCTTCTGATTCTTGAGATAGTTAAACCTTTGTTATCCGTGGCATCTCATGATGAATGACTGAGAAATAGCGAGAACGTAGAAGGAAAGACGACGATACGAGGGAACTGCGTCGCGCGCTCATCGGAACGCATGCGAATTGCACGCGACTTGCTTGTTCGCGATTCAAACGAAATGATTGTCGTCGTCGACGAGACACTGAGAGAACCATCATGCTGAATCTAAAAGCCCCCGAGAGCTCCTGACGTCTTCCGCGTTAAGACACGAAGATGTCTGATTGAAAGGACCTGATCGAGCTTATAGGTAATTCGACGAAACGATCTAGATGTCTCGAACGCTTCCGGCGTAATGATAATTGTTACTACAAGTCCGAGCAGCTGGCAGGATATTCATCTCGTTGATGTGACAACCGTAACAATACCTCTAAGTCGCGGACGACGGACGCTCGCGACCCGAAGCAAAAACTTATGTCATACAAATACTCAAAAGATAGGCGTAGCATTTATACGAGGGTGGTCCGATAAGTACTTAGCCTACAAAAGAAAAACGAAAATTTTGGAAAAGTGGCGATTTATTTCTCAACATAGTCTCCTTTTAACTCGATACACTTCACCCAGCGATGCTTCAACTTCTTTAACCCGTCTGAAAAATACGTTTTCTCGAGGTCTGCAAAGTAGGTCTCCGTGGCAGCGATGACCTCATTCGACTCAAATTTCTGCCCGGCGAGTGACTTTTTCAAGTTTGGAAACAAAAAGAAGTCGCACGGGGCCAAATCTGGAGAATACGGTGGATGGGGCAGCAGTTCGTAGCCCAATTCGACCAATTTGACCGTGGCGAGGGCGGAGGTGTGAGCCGGTGCGTTGTCATGGTGGAAGAGCACTTTTCTTCGCCAAATGGGGCCGTTTTGCTGCAATTCGGCATCGAATCGGCCCAATAATTCGGCATAGTACAGCCCTGTGACCGTTTTGCCCTTCTCCAGGTAGTCGATGTAGATCACACCTTGTGAATCCCAGAAAACGGTGGCCATCACCTTTCCGGCCGATAGGACAGTCTTCGCCTTCTTCGGAGCACGTTCGCCGGGTGAAGTCCACTGTTTCGACTGTTCCTTGGTCTCTGGTGTGTACCAGTGGATCCATGTTTCGTCGACGGTCACGAAACGACGCAGAAACTCCTTTGGATTGCGCTTAAACAGCGTCAAACACTGCTCTGA